GTTGAAGCCTAAAAGCTGTCAGCTGTGAAGCATAAGAAATAAATAAATAACAAAGAGATAAATGGAGCCAGACTTCCTTCAAGAAGGTAAAGTAGGAAGCTGTGAGCGCTGTGATCCTGTCTTTCGGTAAAGCGCCCCAGGCCTGCGCTGAGGCCATCAACACTAATTTGCCCCTGGCGCTCCCAGATGCAAATGGGAGCAGCCAGAGGGGCCCGAGCAGCTAAAAAGGCCAGCGGATCCCAAAGCCTCGCCCAGAAGCCAAGGGAGGAGTCCAGGACGCTTGTCCTCTACCTGGAGCCCTTATGTCTTGGACCTCACGCCCTGCCTGAAGTAAGTTGTAATCTTTGTCTTCTTTAAAGGATTCCATACTATTGGTTCAGTATCTGATTATACTGAGGCCTGTGGTAATTTAATCTATTGCTACTAACATACTTTATACTGTTTCCAGAGTTGGTTTTGTTGTTGTTTTATTACTAAAATGTTACGGTGAACTTTGTTGTACATGTATCTTAGTAAATCTCTGCTGATCTATGGATTGCTAAATTAAAAGATACAGTTGACCCTTTAGTAACAGGGTTTAGGGGTTCTGACCCTCCACGAAGTCGAAAATCCACCTATAAATAACTTCTGACTCCCCTAAAACTTAACTACTAATAGCCTACTGTTGACCAGAAGCCTTATCGGTAATGTAAATAGTCGATTAACGCATATTTTGTATGTCATATGTATTATATACTGTACTCTTAAAACAAGCTGGAGAAAAGAAAATGTTATTAAGAAAATCATAAGAAAGAGAAAATACTTTATAGTATTTATTGAAAAAAGTCCAAGTATAAGCGGACCCACGCAGTTCAAACCCATGTCGTTCAAGGGTCAACTGTATTTGCATTTTGGGAGGCAAGAGACGTGAACAGACATTTCACTGAAAAGTATGTACACATGACAGCCATATGAACATACACTCAACATCATTAGCCGTTAGGGAAATGCAAGTTAAAATCACAGTGACACATCACTTCATGCCTTTCAGAATGGCTACAGTTAAAAGGTAGTGACACCCCAGCCAGGTGGCTCAGTTGGTTGGAGAGTCACCTTGTGCACCAAAAAGGGGTTGGGTTTCATTCCCCATCAGGGCACATTCCTAAGTTGTGAGTTTGATCCCCAGTCAGGGTGCCAGAGGGAGGCAACCAATTGATGTTTCTCTCTCACATCAATGTTTCTCTAAAATCAATAAACATATCCTCAGGTGAGGATTAAAAATAAAGTAAAATAATAAAATAAAAAAAATAAATAAAATAAAATAAAATAGAGCAATAACACCAAATGCTGGTGAGGATGAGGGGAACCGGATAACTCAGACTCAGCAGGTGAGAAGGTGAAATGACACAGTTACTTCAAAAACAGTTTGGCAGTTTCTCATAAACGTGCAACTACCGTATGACCCAGCAATTGTTCCCTTGGGCATTTATCCCAGAAAAATTAAAACTTATGTTCACACATAAACCTGTATGTAAATGTTTATAAAAAGCTTTATTCAGAATAGGCAGAT